AGAGAGAGAGAGCGAGAACAACAAAAAAATCGGCACCGACGATTTGCCGCCCGCATGCGCAGTTGCAATTATTATGAATTATGGAGTTGGGGTCTGGTGACATTGATTGAAATCGATATCTGTGGACCGTGACGCATAGCACCTCTTACCTAAATTCATATATACTGACTGAATGTTATCTGCAGTTCATTCGCAGCTCCTCCCTCCATCCGAACCAAGAAACCCCCTTCCCATCTGGTAGAAGGACGACATCCCTTAACATCTGCCTGATATTCGTCGTCTTTGCCCAAGGGTATAAACAGGTGTAACTCATTTTTACGACGGTTCGTGACAAGATCCAATTTTTGGACCATTTTCTCCTTGGCTAGCGAAAAAGTTGAATACGTTTGAAGATGAAGTTCTTTGTATGCGTTGTTCTGTTTGCGGTGGTACCTGCTGTTTTTTGGTTACAGTAAGTGATACCTTTTTTAAAGTTTCATATTTTCAGCATAAACGTGATTGTGAATCGTGCATGTGGATCTGCTTACGACTGGCGGTTTATTTTTTGTCGTTGCTCTCTCTCTCTCTGTGGCGGTCATGTTGTCTCTCTGTTCTAGCCGTCTATGGACGTCACCATCAGCTCCACGCCTTAATAAAAAAGCGAAGTTTTCTGAAAGGTGCGTTTCTTTCCAGCATGGGGGTGAGCGGGAGGCACTTGGGTAACCTTTCAAAAAGTATAATGGAAACAAATAATATGCAATTTCTCTGTACTTTTGTCCAAAAAAACATACAAATCCAGCTAGATGTCGTCTCTTTTTGCACTGGGGAAGAGTAAAATAGCGAGTTTCGATCACACTTCGGCCACTCTCACTAGCTCTCACTCATTTCCTTGTGGTCAGACGGTTTTGGGGAAAGCGGCTAATGAATAATCCAATCACTAGCTTTCTTCTGGTATTAAACTTGTTTTGATTGATTGTATATTTTTGTCGGAATTTACTCATTCACATTATGGAACTACCTGCCCGATGAAGCTAGTGGCCATGACCACTGAACTAAAAAAAATATATCAAGCAAAAATGCTTATTTGTTCTATGCACGCAGGTAAGATTGAGCGGATGATACAGCGTTTCCATATGGGTCCTAAACAGTGGAATATGATTCCCCAAGTAATAAATAAATCACAATTCATATCTTTAACATCTTACTACTAAAAAATTATTAATCATTACAGTTGTTATTTTCTTTATATATTTGAACCCCCTTTTTTATTGTTTTGTTGTTTTCACTTTCTCTCGTATTATAAATAGTTGAAGTGTCTGTACTTTGGTTATTTTACTTAATTTATTGTTGTGATCTTATAATATTTTGTATTTCTTTTTGTTTGTTTTTTATTCTGTAATGGGCGATCCAACTTCACAGTTTTTCGCGACCTTCATGGAAAGCCAAGCATAACATTTGTAAAAACTTTGATTTTTATAAAATATTATTTCGAAATAAATTAAATTGAATTGGATTACCATCTAAATTGTTGACAATGTAAAATAAATCAAATTGCGCTTCTGGTGTAAAATTCACAATGTAAAAATGTATTTCAATAAAGAAGCAATAACATCAACCTGCATGTAATGGGTTCAATGCACAGCCATCATAAGTCCCTTCTTTGAAAAAATTCAATTCGGAGTGGGGATCCAGAAAAATACCCCTAAACGTATACAACGGCTCCTACAGCAGGATCTCGAAAAAGTACCCTTTTTCTCGAAAATGGCCCAAATTGACTCTTTTTTTTACCCCCTTCACGCGTCACCGTGCGGACCGCGTCCAATCTTTAAAAAAAAACACACCCCTTTATACGCGTTTTCTTGGTCACGCATGCTTATTTATATTTGACTGAGACCCCTGGGTTAACCCCTTTCTCCTCTAGCCATGCATCTCTGCCGAAACCATACTTTTCTTTGGACGTTACCTTTACCATTACCCGAGATTCTGAAAGAATACTGTAGACGAAGCAGTTCTCCATCCTTACCTCTTCTTCTCCCCAATACTTTCTGCCCATGCCCAATGTTATATACGTATACTTTCCAGTGTCACGAACATAACGTTTTGGTATATTTAAAGATATTTGTTCCATCACTTTCAATTGAAAGCTTTAACGGTAAACAATTCAATTCCCTGTTATATAATGTAGGCCAGGCAAGACCGTACAAACTAGGGGTTCGCGGGGTTCGCGCGAACCCCCTAAAACAAGTTTTTAAAAACAGGTTTAAAAAAAAAAAAAAAAAAAAAAAAAAAAAAAAAAAAAAAAATCATTTTTTTGTGGTTGAATTAGAGCTAAGAAAATTAGTAAGCATTAAAAGATAAAAAGTTCGGTTGTGCCACAAATGAGCCTCCCCCTCCCACAACCTAACAAAGGCGCCCTAGTGCAAGACACGTATGCGTACGTAATGTTGGGGGTAAGCCGACACCTTTTTTGGGGGGGAGTCCAAAAAAAAATCGCAACGACTCAGCCATCCGAAAAGTCGCTCAGTGGGGGGGGGGGGTGGTAGGCGGAATTTTTTTTTTTTTTTTTTTTTGGTCTCGAAATTTGAAAATTTGACATTTTGCTCCGTTGGGGGGGGGGGTAAGGTCACCTTTCTTAGGTCAGCCATGGGGGTAATTTTTTTTTTTTTTTTTTTTTTTTTAATTAAAAAAAAAAAAAAAAAAAAAAAAATCCAAAGGGGGGGGGTTTACACACATAAAATACCAAAGGGGGGGTTAACCCCCAAACACCCCCCCCCCCTGCGTACGCGTCTGCCTGCAAGTGTCAAAATAAGGGGGACCCGCTCCCTGGACCCTAAGGCAGGCTTCTGGATGCTCATCTGACCATTAATTATCAATGCCTAAAACCCCCTGCCAATAAGTGACCTGTCATTGTCACATATAAGGTATCAACATATGCTCACCTGGCCGTAATTAAATACCTAACCCCCTGAGCATCCGGGACTCCGCCCCTAGACACCACCATGGGCCCTAAGACGGGCCCCTGAATTGGTCATCTGACCATAATTAAATGCATAAAACCCCTGAGCTTTAAAGTGGGGTCCAGGGGCCAAGCCGCATAAACTTTATGTGGCTTGGCCCCTGGACCCCACCAGATGCCTTAAGACGGGCCCCTGAATGTTCATCTGACCATAATTAGTTGCCTAAACCCCTGAGCTTCATGGGCTCAGCCCCCTGCACATCGCGCTTATTGGTGACCTGCCAGTGTCACAAATAAGGTATATAGATATGCTCATCTGACTGTAATTAAATGCCTAAATACCCTGAGATTTCGGGGGCTCCTACCCCTGGACCCCACTAGGGGCCCTTAGACGGGCTTCTGAAAGTTCATCTGACCATAATTAGATAACTAAATCCTCTGAGCTTAATGGGGCTCAGCCCTCTGAACCACACCAGGGGCCCTAAGACGGGCCTCTCGGAAGTGGTCATCTGACCATAATTAAATGCCTAAAACTCTTGAGCTTCTTGGGCTCAACCCCCTGGACCCCACGCCAATTAGTGACCTGCCAGTGTCACAAATAAGGTATCTAAATACGCTTATCTGACCGTAATTAAATATCCAAACCCCTGAGTTCCACTAGCTTCGCTTGCTACGCTGTACCTGATCATTAATACCCCATATAAAAAACTTTCCGCGGGACCTGCATGAAACATGTTTTTGAAGTTTTGTTGTGAAAAATTTCATTCCTTAGCAAAACATTAGTATATGAATGGAATACAGATTTTCTATAATATTTACTTGTACATTTTGAAGGATATTATGCGAGAGAGCATAACAACCGATCGAGAAGATGTTTGTATTTGTAGTTGTCTAAACGCTGCACTCTTGCGCCCTCCAGAGCCTTTAGTCAGTATTTGCTATACATTTTTCGTGTGCACTTTTTCAAATTCGCCGGGGGGGGGGGGGGATGTTCCCCCGTCGCCCCCCGGATTGACGCCCCTGGTTCTCAATATAAGCAACATGTAAATTATACAAGTTTTGATTTGTCAATTACGCCATGTCAAGATGTATTGTCAGGCCACTCCAGCAAAGCATAGTAGTCAATGTTAATGCGTATTGACTATTATATACATCACTTTAGAAATCTAGCCATCTGATTAGTCGAAATTGGAGTCTTGATTTTAGCCATGCCGCCTACCAGTCAATAGTCTTTTAAAAAGTGCCCTCATACCCGCCTACCGGTCAATAGACTTTTTAAAAATGCGTTCATGCTGCGATCCCCATAGGTTTACGTGTAAAAAAAAATTGTGCGAGCGCGGCCACCATACAGTGCTTTTTTTCTGCGATTCCCAAATGATTGCAAATTTCAGTCATCTTTCCAGCGAAGATTAACAGATTACTACTACTACTACTACTACTACTTCTATTACTATCACTGCTACTAACTATTCTTCTGCTACTACTATCGAATTTCCAACGGTATGATAACATTGAAAACAATAAAGATTACGGTACAGCAATGTGAGTACGAGCAGAAGCTAACTGAATATAAATGATAATACGACAACCCACGTACTTGACTATGAACTATTTCTGTGGTTGTTCTTTGCAGGCTGGTCATACCTTACCCAAGATACCTGGCATCTCATATCGGGTAGCAACTGCAATGGTACCTCCCAGTCGCCCATCAATATCATCCCCAGCATCGCCACCACCACTGATCTCGGTCCCTTCGTGCTCGATGGCTATACCGACGAAAACAGTAACATGAATTTGGTAAACAGCGGGACTTTCAGTAAGGATAACAAAGTCAAATTACTATATTCTGATGAAAAACATGACTAAGTAATTATAAAGCAACACGACTCTGTCTTGATAAATAAAATTTCGATGAATAAAATGAATGTATAATGATGACCAGCATGACTATAAAATGACTATATTACGATGAATAAAATGACTACAAGCTGTAATAGCCATGAAAATGTAACCATTGTTTCCCCTCTTCTCCTCTCAATGTAGTACGCGTCGATCTTCATGATGAAGTGGAGTACAAGCTCTCTGGGGGCGGTCTTCATACTACCTACACAGCTGCTAAAATCATCTTCCACTGGGGTCTATCAATTCTCAAGGCTCAGGACATCAGATTGATGGCACCTCCTATCCTGCTGAGGTGAGTCATGTGCAGGGGCGTCGCCCATGACAGCGAGTGACCCCTTCTTTCTTTTTTCATTTCGATAAAATTTATAGTTCCAGGACGAACAAAGAAAAACATTAAATCATATTATTCTGTAGATAACGTCATTCACAGGTTTATTGTGACAATCCGTACAATTAAATGCCTAAATCCTCTGAGCTTCATGGTGCTCAGCCCCCTGAAACCAACCAGGGGCCTACATATATTGCTCCGATTGTCTTATTTTCGCTCGCTTGATCACTGCAGCCAGGCGCGTACACAGGGGGGGGTCTTTGGGGGGTTAAACCCCCCCCTTTGGTAATTTTTTGTGTGTAAACCCCCCCTAAATTTCTCTAAAAAAAAAACCCCCCCCCCCCCCCCCCCCCCCCCCCCCCCCCCCCCATCTTTGGATTTTTTTTTTTTTTTTTTTTTAAATTAAAAAAAAAAAAAAAAAAATTAAAAAAAAAAAAAAAAATTCCCATGGTTGACCTAAAAAGCTGACCTTACCCCCCCCCCCCACGGAGCAAAATGTCAAATTTTCAAATTTCGAGACCAAAAAAAAAAAAAAAATGTGTCCTCTTCCTTACAGTCCAAACGATAAATATGTGCCTTTAAAGGCCCGGTCACACAGAGGGGACGCATGGGGAACGCACGGCCAGCGCATTGGAAATTTTCAATTTGGGCCAGTGCGTTGTCGTGCGCCCAACTTTTGTCGAAGCTACAGCGAGCTGACACCAAATGCATAGCGTGTTGCTAGCGCGCTGAGCGCATACAGGGCGCATACAGACCGTACACAGAGCGCACATGATAACAACTTCCACGAATGCACAGCGTGTTGCTAGCGCGCTGGACGAGTGGTCACACATAGACGACGCAAGGCCCGCGCATTGGAAATCGGAAAAGGCCGTGTGCCTAACTTTTGTCATGATTTTGGAAAAGCTCGCGAGCTGACACAAAATGCACAGCGTGTAGCTAGCGCGCTGTGCGTATACAGGGCGTGTGCTCCGCGTATGTCTGGCGCTGGTCTAGCGCGCTCCACGCATGTCTGGCGTGCCTTTGGCGTGTACATTCATGCGTCGAGCTCGGCGCACGTTTTTGAGCATGCTCAAAAATTCCCAACGCACACAGCGAATGACGACGTTTGCATAGCGTGGGTCCAGCGCGCTCGACGAACGAGTAACGAGTGATGACGCACGCCTTGCGAACGACAACGCACTGGCCCAAATTGCAAATTTCCAATGCGCTGGCCGTGCGTCCCCCATGCGTCCCCTCTGTGTGACCGGGCCTTAACGAAGCAGGCGACAATCGGCGTAGCAGACGACACTTGATAGTAATTTTGTATGTGAGATTGCTTTGCTAAATATAAATTACTTTGTTAATAAATATCAACTAAAATTTCTTTTACATTTTTTTAAACCATCATTGATATTTAATAATTCATGAGTGATTAAAAGAAACATACCAAACTATATAATTATATGAAATACTTGGTGGCAATTAGGGGGGTTTGACGTGATGACCGATTGCACCCCTCTGTTAATAACCGAATAGTCCATGGTGTGTCATGAATATTCATGTTTTTGCTTACCTCGGCTAAATGTTTGCTTTTACTAAATTGAAAAATTACGGTGGGGGTTGGATGAAATGGACATAATAAAATAGGCAGAAGTGATCTATGATAATTCATGCTTTTTATGTTTCGTGTGCTCGACCTTTAATCTTCAAATCGCTTGGCAAACTGAGTCCAAAGTTAGACTTGTTTCACATGTGTATTATAGGCAATGACGAGCTTGCAACCTATTTTGAAAATTACGGTGGGTGAACTTTCAAAAGTCAATGAGACATGAGGGCTCCAATGAAAGAGCTAGTGATAACGTACGTCGGGGTGGATGTGCTTTTCGTTTAAACAAAAAATGAATTTTTAACGATTTTTTAAAAAACGTCCATAGGCTAACATGTTAGGCTGCTGACTCTGACCATGCTCTGACGATAGGGGGCGTTGTGAAATGAGACTAAACGGAGCAATATGAGACAGGCCTCTGAATTGGTCATCAGTTCTGACCATAATTAAATGCCTAAACCCACTGAGCTTCAACTCGGAGGCTCAGCCCCCTGAATATGTCATCTGACCATAACCAAATGCCTAAAACTCCTGAGCTTCTCGGGCTCAACCCCCTAGACCCCACGCCAATTAGTGACCTGCCACTCTGCCAGTGTCACAAATAAGGTATCTAAATACGCTTATCTGACCGTTATCAAATGCCTAAAACCCCTGAGCTTCCGGGGGCTTCGCCCCTTGACCCCGCTGGGGCAAAGCCCCTGGACGGTTGGACACCTTCATGGGGCTCAGCCTCCTAGACCCCCTGCCGGTTAGTGACCTGCCAGTGTCACAAATATGGTATCAAAATATGCGCATCTGACTGTCATGAAATGCCTAAAACCCCTGAGCTTCCGGGGGCTTCGCCCCTTGACCCCGCTGGGGCAAAGCCCCTGGACGGTTGGACACCACGCCAATTTACGCTCCATTCGCTGCGCTCGCTACGCTCTACCTGTTTGCTATTACTCCACTTTGAAAAAAAAAATCGTTCCGCGGTGCCTACATGTAACGTATAGTTGTAAAAGTGGTGGTGATGCAGATTTTGTTTCTACCCCAAACGTTTTTGCTCGTTACGCCACTGCCCCTGGAATGTCTGCCCCCCCCCCCCAATCCCAAACCGGTTCCGGTGCGCCTCAGGTAACAGGAGTGTGCAGTAGGTACATTGTGTACGTGAAGGTATATGTTTTTATGCTCTGGATATATGCACCATTCAAACCCCGCGGCTTGAGATAATTACTCAAAACTCAAAAGCCACCGGCCGGCGCGGCCACCAAGTAATGTTCAGATGACTGCTCTGTAATCGGATGATGGTGGGAACTATCACTCCCAAGGTGGTGTTCACACCGGCCGCTTTGTCACCCCCGAGGCGAAGCCGAGGGGGTGATAGAAGGGCCGGTGTGAAAACTACCAAGGGAGTGGTAGTTCCCACCATCATCCGTTTACAGAGCAGTCCATATTTGTTTTATACCTCATCCTGTTTATTGATTCATGATTAGGTCTAGCTGTAGGTCTAGATCTAGCTCTAAAAAACAGGAAACGAGATCAAGAGGAATTTACTCACCAGAATAAGAAAAATCCAACATCAAGTCCAAGGCAAGAGTATTGAATTCCTACGCGCTGCGCGTAACCGCGCGTGCGATTGCGGTAGCCTAGCAACTCAAAAAATGTGTGTGCGTAAAAGTCGCGGAGGGGTTAGGAGTTCTATCCCATGGTTTCATAGTAGCTATCGAACCCTCTGACGCAATGATACTTGATAGATCGAAATGCTCCTTGTCATGTGATATAGTTTTGACCAATCAGTGAATGACAATCTATGTATGAGGTATATAAACATAATTATTACCCGTATCAGACATCTTTGACTCGGGGCAATATGAGTCTATTTCGAGAAATTGTTGTATCTCCCTCAAGGCCAGTCCATATAACATAATTATGCGTTAGTCGAATTTCTACGACTCACACACAAGTCGAATATTTCCTAAGTCGACACATTTCACTCAGTCCTGAGAAGATCGACTTATACGCGAGGTTATCTGTATGAAAGGGTGACCAAAGTTCGCGGACATTTTAGAACATAATACAAAATGTGATATTCGAACTATGATTTCTCATATTCTACACAAATTTATTTATTTCAATTATTACCAAATGGATGGCAAAGTTTTTTTTACTACAGATTGGTTTTACTAGAAAATTTATCGTCGAAGGATTTCGGAGATATCGCGATCTAAAAATTCGATGTCCTATCGTTCGTGCGCGCTGCATCTAAAAAAGTCATAAAAACAACGAGACCTAACTTCACGCACGGGGGTTTACAGTTGATTTATCAAAAAGTGTGATCCATCAAAAATAAGGTAATATCATAATTTGCAAGGCAAGATATCATACAATCATTTAGTACCACTTTTTAATTACAATTTTGAGAAAAGCTGCTCTCAAATTGAAGATTTTCAGACCCTTATCGGTAAGTTGATCATTTTTCGGAACGGACGCAAAATATTGCAAAATTTGTCGATCTTTTGTCAATATTTTCGTAATTTCGTACCCAATTCCAAAGAAAATTTCACCTCCGGGTAATTTAATGTTCCTCTTTCCATTGGTGATATCAGATTTTAGTAATCTTACTGATTTTTTGAGATAGCGAACTTAGGTCACGCGCGAACTTTGGTCACACCACCATATGTCTTTTGTACACAAATTTTTGCTGATAACCTGACACTTTGAAGCGATATCATTTTGATTTTTTTTTTTTCATTGGAATTTTTTAGCCTTTTGTAGGCCTACCCCAAATTACAAGAATTCCTACATAATTGATCATGGGAATTGTGTTTCAAAGGTTCTTGTTTAAGGAATAGACCAAATACTGTTCAAATTTGGCAGAAGAAAAACACATGGCTAACATTTCATACTGGATAAATGAATATAATGTCAATGACAAAGCGACCTGTAGTGTCCATAACATGCTAAAGTCAAATGTAAAGTACTTAAAGTACAAGTCCACTCCAAAACGAACTTACTTTCAATAGCAGCAAAAAAAAATCAGACAAACCAATCAAAAGAAGTTTGAGCAAAATCGGATAACTAATAAGAAAGTTGTGAATTTTTTAAAAAGTATGTAAAGCTATGGAACAAGTGAAATCACCACACAAATTGCCAATTTTGTTATCAGTTTGTGACGATTTTTATATCAATAGTTTATCAAAATTCACATTTTTCATGATTTAACTGAAAAAATTACTCTACATTTAGTGCATCCACACATAATGTATATGTCTCTTCTGTTATTTTCCCCCTCATTTATTTTTTATTTTTTTAATTTACTGTATTGCCTATAATTGCCAGTGGGAAGCATATGTTAACGTAATGGACATATATAAATTATCAATTATTATTAATCCATTATTCATTTATTCAGTTGCACATGGTTCACTACGACAAGTCTAAATACGCCGATCTCGGCGCAGCTGTGACCAGCTTGCAATGGGATGCAATCACCGATCTGGTTGTGATGATTGAGGTAAGAGTGCCCCCTGTGTTCTTCTTTTTCTTCTTATTCTTCTACTGTTAATCTTCAATGGGCCATGCAGCTTACCACAAACATCGGTATGTAGATTACCAGTGGCTTATGCTTGGTTTACACCTAATCTTTGCGATTCTCCTACACATGGGAATATATTGTTGTTATAAGTCAACGCAAAGCGTAGCATCCCCTCGCAGGGTACAAATGGCCTATATATATATACACATCAGAACATTGGACTATACTATTATATTACTAGGCAAGGAAGTTAACCACATTTTCACATATATAATTAGGTGTTTTTGCATATTTAATGAGCTATGACCTTTCACCTTTGACCTACATACTCAGAAATCGATTACATGTACATGTATTTTGATACCATATGTACCTTCATCAAATTTCATTAAAATTTGACAAACATTACTCAAGTTATCGAATGGAAACCAGATTCACATATTTAATGAGCTATGACCTTTGACCTACATACTCGGAAATTGAACTTAGGCTGTGATTTGATACCATGAACCTTCATATCAAATTTCATTAAAATCTGTCACACAATACTAAAGTTATGGATCGGAAACCAGATTCGCATATTTAATGAGCTATGACCTTTGACCTAAATACTCCGAAATCGAACTTAGGTTGTGTTTTGATACCATGTACCTTCATATCAAATTTCATTAAAATCCGTCAAACATTACTGAAGATATCGATCGGAAACCAGATGTGTATTTTTTCGCATATTTAATGAGCTATTACCTTTAACCTTTGACCTACGTACTCCAAAATCGAACTTATCCTGCATTTTGATATCATGTACCTTCATATCAAATTTCATTAAAATTCGTCAAATATAACTGAAGTTAACAATCGAAAACCAAATTTGTTAGACGCACACACGGAAGGAAGGAAGAACGGAAGGACGGACGGCGGTGTTACTATATCCCCTCCGACTTCGTCGGCGAGGGGATAGTTATCATTAATAAGTCCGCGCTCTATTTCATGGTTTTAGTTTAAAGATTATTATTTAATCAATTTATTGTAATGTCGATCTTCATTTTATTTTTTTCAGTTCTAGAATTAGTCCTTGTAAAATAGTTTAGTTGTATTTCTTTCCCTATGAAGGTTGGCGAATCTAACCCTGCTTTCGATTCCGTCCTGAGTCACATCAGCCAGATCGCCAATTACTCCTCGGGCAACACTTCCCTGGGCCAGGGCAACCTCCCATCGTTCCCGATCCGTAGTTTCTTGCCAGTTGACCTGTCCAAGTTCTACCGTTACAATGGTTCCTCGCCGGCGCCCAACTGCTATGAGGTCGTCATCTGGAACGTCTTTAAAGACCCAATCTCTATCTCCCAGGCTCAGGTGAATGAGAGAATGGGGTCTCCGGGGGGGGGGGGGTGTACTTAGATGATGAAATTGTCATTTGGTCTACAACAAGTAGGTTGGATACCCATTTTGTATATTGCACGTCAACGATCCCTACTTTTTCCAACTTTGTACACCTCAGGATTATGTCAGTCTCCATCTTTCTTTTTATAAGGTTAGCTGAAAAATAGCATGATACTCTTAGTTTTAAATGTTTGAATGCTTCTACTAAAATGTTGAGTGTAAAATTTGAGTATCCACAAACTGTTACAGGAGAGGTACCCATCTGCCCCCACCCCACCCCCGGGGGCCGGGGGCAGAATACCTTGGCAGACCCGAGGCCTTTAGCCCCAGTGCAAGTTCCATCATTTTGTCGTTGTTGTTCTTCATTTAATATTCTCCTGAATGTAGATGACGTAAATAAAGTAGTAGTTTAGTAGTAGAAGTAAGGGTATATACTAGTAGTAGTAGCAGCAGCAGCAGCAGCAGTAGTAGTAGTAGTAGTAGTAGTAGTAGTAGTAGTAGTTCTAGTAGTAGGAGTAGTAGTAGTAGTAGAAGAAGAAGGAGAAGAAGAAGAAGAAGAAGAAGAAGAAAGAAGATAAAGAAGAAGAAAAAGAAAAAGAGAAGAAGAAGAAGAGAAGAAGAAGAGAGGAAGGTGAGAAGAAGAAGAAGATAAAGAAGAAGAAAAAGAAAAGAAGAAGAAGAAGAAGATGAAGAAGAAGAAGAGGAAGGTGAAGAAGAAGAAGAAGAAGTAGTGGTATAAGTAGTCGTAGCAGAAGTAGTAGTAGTTGTAAAAGTAGGAGTAGAAGAAAAAGAAGTAGTAGAAGTAGCAGTATTAAAAGTAATAGTAGGAGTAATAGTAGTAGTCAATGGCGGATCCAAGAGGGCCCGGGGGCCCCGACCCCTCCCCTGGGAAAAAACAGGTAAAAACACGCAAATTTTACCTTTATTTGGAGACGGGCCCCCTCCCCTAGGCGCCCAGGGGGGGGGGGGGGGGGGGGGGGGGGGGGGCGGGGGTTGTACGATTTTTAAATTTTCGAGGGCCGAAAAAAAAGTTAGTGCTCATTCAACCCCCTCACCCTCCTCCCCCCCCCCCCCCCCCCCCCACTGAGCGAATTATCGGCCGGAGCGATTTGCAAATTTTCGTTGGCTTAAAATAAAATAAAACAAATTATTGCTCCTACCCCCCCCCCCCCCCAACCCCTCCCCGCTTATTCAACGGCTAGGGCTGAGTCAGCGCTAAATATTACTTGAAAAATTGGACCAAAAGAAAAGAAAAAAATGTACCTCTTACCCCCCCCCCCCCCCCCCCCCCCCCCGCTCATTCACCGGCTGGCTATTTCGCCGATCAACATTTTTTCACAAATTACGACTTCCAATTTTAACATGTCTAACTTTTCGATTTGGAAATGACTAATTCTTGAAAGTTCGATAATGATGATAAGGCGAAATAAAATTTTTAAAATGTGTAAAGCGTTCTGTTTTTTTTTTTAAAATAGGAAGGAGGAGGCCCTTTTCAGTCGTGTTTTTCATGTTTGTTTTTTTCATAACAAAAAAAATTCAAAAAATATTCAAAAAAAAATTCTAATTAAAAATAAAAAAAATAAAAAAAAAAAAAAAATTTCAACAGAAAAAAATAGGAGGCGGCCCCCAAAAAGGAAGCGGGAGGGGACGCTAAATATGTATATTTTTTTAATGGCCTAAATTCGTGTTTTTTTTTTTTTTCTTCTTCTTTCTAACAGCTTGACATGTTCCGCACCGTGTACGGAGTCAATCTGAACGCACAAGGCAATTACAAAATGGTCGACAATTACCGCTACATCCAACCTCTGAATGGCCGCACAATCTACTACAGCAGTGCAGTTACCATCTCACCAATGAGGGCACTGTTTATCATGGCACTTGCAATTAGTTCAGCTAAAATTCTATAAACATGATTAGTTTAAAGGGCTTTAAACTAATCACCTGTACATACGACATCATTCACACACAGAAATTCGTTGTGATAGTTAATCGTGTCTGACACGGCCGGTAGTAGCAACTGCTCCGAAGATCAAGATTACATTAATCTTGATCTAAGGAGACACGAACGAACGATCGTTTCGTGATTAACTACTGCTCTTAAAATGCGCAGTAGTGCCATTGCGCATTGAAGGTCAGATTGTGGTCTGTTCCGGTTTTGGCAAAAACCGCGCGCCTGCTAGCAATTTGCGTTCACTATACCATGCTCTTTATCGTGGCCTGTTCCGTTATGTTTTTCGTTGTTTTCTATCATTTTCTCTTTCTGTCTTTCCTTATGTTATTCTTTGGTTCTTCCTTCTATTCTTATGTTATTCTTTGTTTTTTTCCCTCTATCACCTTTTCTTATATGTTATTCTTTGTTTTTATAATTCCGTCACTTTCTCTTTTTTTTGTTTTTTTTGTTTCTTCCTTCTATTCTTATGTTATTCTTTTTTTCTTCCTTCTATCACTTTTTCGTATGTAATTCTTTGTTTTAATCATTCTATCACTTTCTCTTTCTGTCTTTCCTTATGTTATTCTTTGTTTCTTCCTTCTGTCACCTTCTCTTATGTTATTCTTTTTTTTATTTATAATTCTATCACTTTCTCTTATGTTATTCTTTGTTTCTTCCTTCCATTCTTATGTTATTCTTTTTTGTTTTCCTTCTGTCACCATTTCTTATGTAATTCTTTGTTTTATTATTGCGATCTATGCTCAAAACAGCAGTCGACAGTCGGCCGTAAACAATTCCAGAAAGCGCGTTCCGAAGTTGACCTATACTTCCTGGGTCAAACTGCGCAGTGTGATGCGCAGTGACTGGGCCTGAAATGAGCTAGAATCAGAGTTAATGGAAAATCGCTTGAACGATTTCCCGCAGTGACATTGTTTTGTAAAGGCGTTTTGATTTGTGATTCATGTTTGTGATTCTAGCTTCGAAAAATCGTTTAAACGCAAGAGGTTATAGTTCAAACTTTCAGTTCAGGGTTCTTATTATGTAAAAAAAGATTGAACTGATAAATACGTATAATCTATACATAATGTATATATATGCTTCTTAACATCACGGGACCACTTGAACTGAACTAATGAAGCATGCAAATATGAATTTAATCTTGGTGTGTGTTTCTTCTAAACAAAGTTTTTACAAAATTCGTAGTAGTCATTTTGTTTGTATATTGCAAATTGTGCTGGTATTCAAGCAGATAACATCAATTCGAGATGGAGGATTGATTGTTTAACAGACCTTCATGTGGAGGTGTCTTGGTAATGTGGTTCATTCGCTTGACACTCAATCCAAGGGTTGAGGGTTCGAATCCCATTAGAATGCGAAAGTCATTGTACATTGCTCAGCATTGTGAACATCTGTACAATGACGCTTGGCTGGAATGCGAGCGGACATGCCTGAATCTGATGACTAGGGTAATAATATTTCTTTAAATCGCTTAGAGACGTCGTAGATGTGCTGTACCTAAAGGGTACATGACACTATGACCATGACTGACAAAGAAAGCGGACAAAATATACAGTTCCTCAGGTAGACAAATTGATGTGGGCCCTGCTTGCTAAGTAATATTTGCTTAAGAGATTTGATCATAATTATGAGTATTCAACAAAATTCTTTTCAGTAAAAAAAATTATTTCAGAAAATCCTTTAAAAAGATTATAATAATCATTTCTGTTGTGTTGTAAAACATTCTTAATCAAAATATTCTAGTTCACAAAATATTGAAGTAATAAATACTTTTTGTTTAAGATAAGATTTTGCTGTTTGTGCCATAGCATTATTTAGGGTTATTGATTGTGTAGGATTGTCCTAAAATGTTGTGTAAATTTTTGAATCCCTTATATGATTTTTTTTTCTTCATTAAGTAAGTTTGCTTGTAAAGTTTTGGTCTTGAAAGCTATAGAAATTTATTAACTTTTATCGAGATTCGGTTGCCAGTCTCAGTCGATCCCAAAATTGTTACTCGATTAAGACAGTGTTTATGATGCAACCCCTAAATGAGAGAAAAATGAGATTGGGATATAAAAAACGAATTTCATGATAGCGATAATACTACCAAAATACACCTCCTTAAAGAGAGAGAGAGGGGTAGGGGTAGAGAGAGAGAGAGAGAGAGAGGGGTAGGGGTAGAGAGAGTAGAGAGAGAGAGAGAGAGGGAGAGAGAGAGAGAGAGAGAGAGGGGAGGGGTAGAGAGAGAGAGGGGGGGTAGGGGTAGAGAGAGTAGAGAGAGAGAGAGAGAGAGAAAAAGAAAAGCTGCGACACACATACACGAATGCATGTACATTGTTGCCCATATATAGAGAGAGTTATAATATGTTTTCTTACCTTTTTTCTATGAGGGCATTCTGATAATTATAGTTTACTCTTGTAGATAAAGTTGTTATCCTTTCAGAACTTTGAAGATCAATTTAAAGAGTCAATGAGAAAGGTAAGTAGGGTTCTGAAAAATCAATAAACGTTATCTTTTAAAAATAAGCCATATTGTCGCAATCACATCATGAAAAGAGGTAAGCAACAAATAGTCCAACTTCATGGGTAACAGTGGGCTATAAACAGAAAGACAGTGAACGGAGGCTAGAGGAGTAAGAAACTGTAAATTAGAGAGACCACGTGAGAGAAAGGCACGAAGGGGTGAAGAGTTAGAAGAAAGAAGAGAGTAGGAGAGAGAGAATAATATACAGGAGAAACGAAAACAAAAACTTTATTTAAAGAATGCATTACAATAGATATGGGAAGGGGAGGGCTCGTGTGCTGAACACAAGCTGTCGCTTCATATTACCGGTTGCATTAATACAGAATTTAGAAGGAGAATTTAGTATACAAATCCCATTTCCCCTCGCAAGATAGCAAACAAAGCCCCGCCTTCACCCATGCAGAGTTTTCTGGCGATGGGCCATAGTTACGTTGAAACAATAGCTGAGGTGTACCAAGTTAAGAGGCGCAGCATTCCCCCCCCCCCCCCCGTAAATTATTGGCAATATAACATTTTGGAAGATCCCCCTTAAAAAAGTGATTCCATTACTGTATGAATCAGAGTCATGTTGTAAACTTACATACTTCGTCCCTCCTGAGGCAGAGGTCTGGATATGCCACCGATTTTATGTGTGTTCTTTATCTATATAAACATTGAACCGTTTTCTTCGCTCATGGTCAATATTTGAATTCGTATGAGAATTTCGCGTTTGATAATGTACTAGAAATTGAATTCATTGTTAAGATGTGAAGCACGTGAAAAGGTCGCGATCGCCTCTTTTCCGTTCTTTCTTCAAAACTACAGATCTTTCCCTCGCACTCTATAATGTTCTTGTTGGTCTTTGTGGTAGGTCTTTAAGTTTAGTTCTTCTTTTCTGTATCACTATATCTGTAAATTAATTGTCTGCTTCCTCTTCCACTGCCCCTCGCCATGTTTATTTTCTTCTTCTTTTACTCACTGGCACCCCTAATCCCCTTCTTTCTTACTTTATGATTACATGGTGTTTAAAAAACACCACAGTGTCTCTCTCGCAATCTATACCCGGCACATGACAGTGTATCGCCCCCGACATACTACGAACATAATTTTACCGTACCTCGATCCTATTTATACTTTATATGATATTTTATATAGTTTCATTTTTTTAAACCAAATACAGCCATAACTTACAAGTTGCCTTTTTTGTGTTGTCTTATACACAGCGTCACACTGGTTGGACACTCAATATTTGACGAAAGTGATGAAACAAATACCTTTAAATATACCAAAACGTTATATTAGTGCTAAGTACATGTAGTCAGGGGCAGCAATCCCGGGGGACGGGACTGGGGAGGGGGTAACGTCCCCCTCAATTTTTCGTTTTTGTATCGTCCCCCCCCCCCCCCTCCCCCGGAAAATTTGAAAAAATGCAAAAAAAGGGTATAGCAGATACTGACTAAAGACTGCAACAAACTTTTAAGCTCTGGAGGGCCCAAGAGTGCAGCGTTTAGACAAATAAAATTCTTCTCGCTCGGTAGCTACACTCCCTCGCATAATATTAAGTAAAGTGTTCAAGTAAATATTGTAGAAAAGTGAAGTGTGAAAAAAGAAAATGCTTGTTTTTATACTATAATTTTGCTAAGGAATAAAATTTGTTAATACAACAAAAGTTCAAAAACCTGTGAGGGGGTAGTCACTTCCGTCACCTTCACCCCACTCGTTTACTATGCTACCTCGCACTGGCGTAGTGATGGAGGGGGAGGCTTGGGGGCAGTTATTCCCCCTAATACAATTCAAACGCGATTTATTTCTAATACGATACCAGTGTTTTACAAATGTTGCTGAAATAGCATGGTTTTTACCTGAGCTTTTATAAGGCATAAGTGACCTGCATGCCAGTGTCACAAATAAGGTATTCAAATTGCTCATTCGACATTAATTAAATGTCTAAAACCCCTGAGCTTCCGAGGCTCCGTTCCATGGACTATACCAGGGGCCCTATAAGGCGGGCCCCTGGATGCTCATCTGACCGTTAGTCAATACCTAAAACCCCTGAGCTTCCGGGGCTCCATTCCATGGACCCTACCAGGGGCCCTAAGGCGGGCCCCTGGATGCTCATCAGACCGTTAGTCAATACCTAAAACCCCTGAGCTTCATGGGGCTACGCCCCTTGACCCTTGCCGGGCTTTGCCCCTGAACCCCTCGCCAATTTACGCTCCACTTGCTTCGTTCTCTTTGCTCTACCTGATCTTAAATACTTTAGCCCCCTTCCACTTTGAAAAATGTTCCGCGGAGCCTGCATGTAACGTGTAAGAGTGGGGCTGATGCGGATTTTTGGCTCATTAACCCACTGCTCCCTCGTCCATCGCATTTCGTCGTCCCCCCCCCCCGGCCATGAAAAGAAATCGCCGCCCCTGCATGTAGTAACTAATTTTAAACCTAACTGTTATTATTAAGATACTCCATGGAATCAGTTCACATATTAATGACAGTAATAAAGCTTCTATAGCAAAGATATTTCCGAGTCTTTGTAATAGTGACATAAGATATTCCCCTTTCAGGAAGAAAAAAATCCATTGGAATCTATTCAATGATTTTTGTTAAAATATTACTAGAAAGTATGCACCAAATCGCACCAAATGTGTTTGAAAATTCAATTTTCTTTTAACTTGTGAGGGAGCCATATCCCCCCAAAGACATCCCACTGTCCGTGTAAGCACGGGACGTCGCGCTTACGGGCCACTTCATATTTAACTCCATTGAGCCCCCCCCCCCCCTCACATAATATTAACAAGGATTGACGCCCATCATGCTGGCTGACGGCCTTCAGACGGCCGCCAAGAAGTTTCTTTTACAGTACAACTCCACAATGGATCAGATAAATATGACGAAAGGCACGATGAGTTACGAAGCTGTTTATCTAACATGATGTTGTGATTTCTATCTATCGAGAATAAAAAGTCATATTGTCACAATCATTTCATGAAAAGAGGTAAGAAAAATATTTTCCAATTTGAAGGGCAACATTCTATATATCTACATGTATAATTCTGGCTGGCGGCCTCCAGACGGCCGTCAAGGAAGACAGTGTTCTCTAATCTCTATATCACTACACCTCCACAATGAATCAGATAAAAATGACAAAAGGCAACATTGGTCGGTCCTCTGGTTGCTTATTAACTTGCATTTATGCTTTCTTAGCAGTCAGGTAAAATAACCACCACCACCACTACCAGTTACGAAGCTGTTTATCTTACAAGATGTTGTGATTTTTTATCTATCAAGAATAAAAAAATCATATTGTCAAAATCTTTTCATGAAAAGGGGTAAGACAAATATTTTCGTACTTGAAGGGCAACATTCTATATATCTACATGTATTATCCTAGCTGGCGGCCTCCAGACGGCCGTGAAGAACTGTTCTCTATGACACATCTCCACAATGGATCAAATAAAAATGTCGAAAGGCAACATTGACTTACGAAGTTACGTTCATTGAGAATTCAAAGAAAACCTCCAGATTCTTCGTCATGCTCTGGACAATAGGGACTTTGAGATTTGCACGACGAGAACGTGGACTGCTCGTGTGTCATCCTTTAAGGCAATGAGACGTCACTGCCAGTGTCTTAAAAGGACGTCAAATTGCCTTATAAGGATGTCACACGTCGCAGTCCACGTTCTAGTCGTGTAAATCTAAACGTCCCTATTATGAAACTAAGAAGGCGGTGATTGTTGATCACGTATACTTGTTCTTTCTTAAGTTCATTCATACAATGATAATTCATTTACTCATATTCGTATGCATTTATACATTAATGCAAAGTTAACATCATATCGATGTACACTGTTGGTCATAATGGTGGAATAATTATTTTTACCCCAATTTATGGAATGATTTGGACAACGATTTGTTCCTAATAGATCTAGATAATCAGATTTTATTGAATTATAATTTGTGAGTGTTTGTTTTGCGTGACTGATAAAGCATGTATGTGCTACTATGCTAATCAACTAGTGGACCTACGTCCGTAAGTCATAAATGACAGTAATGAGGATTAATGCCCAATAAAAATCCTCTATGTGGGCATGCCTTGAACCATAATGCATGGCCCTACAGAGCAATTTTTCCTGTTGGGGACCGGGGGAAAATGCAATTAATTATTGATAATTTATTGCATTTTCTTTGTCTTTTGTATTTGTGGGGGCGGCGACGTACCCTAGCCCCCGCTGCGTACAGCCATGATTCATTGGCTAAGCAATGGCCTCGTTACTGTGAGGCCCCAAAATAAAAACCGTGTCGATCAGCTATAGTAGTGTCCCTTTGTGAGGCATTCATCCTCATTACTGTCAGTTATTCATTAAGGACGTAGGTCCCCTAGTTGATTAACATAGCAGCACACTCATGTTTTAGCAGTCACGCGAAGCAAATACTCGCAAATTATTATCCAATAAAATTTGAAAATGTATACTATTAACTAGATCTATTAGGAATAAATCATTGTCAAAATCATTCCATAAATTATTATGGTAAAAATAATTATTCCACCTTTATGACCAACAATGTACATGTATATTCTTACAACATGCATTCAGTCAGTTATTAATGCATTTATTCATCAGATATATTTATTCGTATAATCTTTTTTTCGTTTATTCAATAATTTGCATTCGTACAGACATTCGTGCATCACATATTAATTTACATATTCATAGAAGATTTGCACCTTGGTGATTTATTTGATTGGTCAATTGAAATTTTAACGATGTCACACAATTATTTTTTGTTTGTGAGGGGGGGGGGGGGCTTATTAGATTTTTAGGCCTACTCCGCCCGTGTGCAAAGAAAAGAAAAGATACACGAATTGTTGTTAACTACCCACTTGCTACCTGCTGAAGCACATAAGGTGAATCGACAATATAACGTTTATAGAAGGGAGAGAGAGAGAGAGAGAGAGAGAAGAAGAAAAAAATCGGCACCGACGATTTGCCGCACGCATGCGCAGTTGTAATTATTATGAATTATGGACGTGGGGTCTGGCGTCATTAGTTGAGATCGATATCCATGGACCGTGACGCATAGCACCTCTTAAGTACCTAAACTATATATATACTGACCGAATTTTATCCACAGTTCATTCGCAACTCCTCCCTTCATCCGAACCAGGTACCCCCTTCCCATCTGGTAGAAGGACGACATCCCTTATAATTAATCTGCCTGACATGCATCATCTTGGCCCAAGACGATAAACAGGTGTAATTTCTTTTTTACAACGCTTTGTGACAAAATCCAATTTTTGAACGACTTTCTCCTTCCCTAGCGGAAAAGTGGAAAAATTAAGTTTGAAAATGAAGTTCTTTGTATACGTTGCTCTGCTGGCGGTGGTACCTGCTGTTTTTGGTGCAAGTAAGTGATACATTTTTTCTAAGTTTCATATTTTCAGCACAAACGTGATTGTGAATCGTGCATGTGGATCTGCTTTCGACTGACGGATTATTTTTTCGTTGTTCTCTCTCTCTCTCTCTCTCTCTCTCTCTCTCTGTGGCTGTCATGTTGTCCCTCAGTTTTTGGCCGTCACCATCAGCTCCACGCCTCTGTCATTATAACCCAGGGACTTTTAAATTGCCGATGACATATCTAACTCTGACTTCTAAGTTACTGTTCTAACTATAAACATCGTGTAAATTATACAAGTTTTGATTCGTCAATGACGCCATGTCAAGATGTATGGCCAGGATGACAATTTTAATGCTCTTTGGAAGGCTATTGAATTATCTTTTTTGAAAAATATCAATGAAGATGTCTTACTCCTATGGAAAACTCACCCCCTAAGAGTGTTTTGAGATCGCTTGGTAACATACAGTTAGCTGAATCACTCCGTTCTTGGTATTTATTTAGAGAAAACGCTACTATGGAATTTTATGATTCTAAATACTCTGAACCGAGCGGATGTCAGCTTTTTTGGTACAACAGATATATTCGTTCAAATCTAAGCAATTTTTATTTCCCATCCTGGGGGGTGTTTCATAAAGAGTTCGTAAAGTTACGCATGACTTTACGAATGACTTGTATATGAAGTGCCAGATAGGATGCCCAAAGTTTTTTCTGATATTTCCAATAACCTCAATTAAACTATGGCAAAAAAAATATACTTTGCATTAAAAATGGTTGTTAGAATAAAAATGTTAATCTACATTTGCACAGTTCAACTTAATAAATAATAATCAATAATGATTGAGCATCCGATTTGGCTTTTCATATATAAGTCGTTCGTAAGGTCATGCGTAACTTTACGAACAGCTTTATGAAACACCCCCAGGTATGATAGAAAAGTTTTTTTGTTTTTTTTTATCATTTCTGACCTATTCAACCAACTACTCAGTCCAGGCAACTAGCTATTTGAGGAACTTGTTTTAGATTTCAATATTCCTTCTACGGATAGAAAAAAGTTTGATTTTTTTGTTGAAGAATATCCCAAGAGAATGGATGGAGAAATTTGATATTGACATTGTTGGTGTTCATGATACAATAGTTTTTAAATTATTGAGTTAAAAAAGTTCCTAAGAATGTTTATAGCTTATTGCTTGGTCCTCATAGCCCTGATAAGAGATATGCCTATTAGAATAACAGTTAACTAGTACCTTCTAACACTAACTGGGAAAAGGTCCATATTACAAATTGTTTCTGCTCAATTGATACTAAAATCAGATGTTTTTATTTTAACATTTTCCACAGAGCAATTACGTTGAATGATTTTCTTTATAAGATAAAAAGGAAGGAATCACCCAATTATGCTCTATGTGACCAAAAAAAGGAAACAAAGTTGTCCCAATTTGGCAAAATCTCCTCACAGTGATTCCAATTTCGATATTTTCTAATTTTGAACAATTATTTGGAGTTTTTGGTAATAGATTCATCTCGTTTTTTTAATTTTTACTGGTGAAATATCATACATAAACTGTTGTAAATTTAATGAAAATCTTCCTAATTCTGTGTCCTTTAAATCCTTTGTCAAGAAACAGAAGGAAATTGAAGATCATTTAGCCAAGAAAAGAAACAAATTACCTATTCACTTTAAGAAATGACGTTTTGATGTTTAATTTTCTTTCCTTTCTTTGTGAATACCCCTCTTTCTTTTTAATATGTTGGTATGTATGTATGTATTTGTTTATTTTTACAACCTCTCGACTATTGTACTCGTGCACAAAAAGTGTTACTTTTAAGTATATTGCTGCCTTGTACATGTATTTCTGTTTATACCAGTTATACCATGAAATTATGGATCGGGGTGGCAGGAATAGCACTATTTTCTGAGGGGCGTAGCCCAAAGAAAATAGTGCTATTTCTGTCGCCGAGGAGTCCATAATTTCACTAGTGGCTTGAAATAGTGCATGATATATTTGTTTTATATTTTTCAAACCAACCTTATACAGTGCGTCCCAGAAACCGAGAAGTATCGATGTTTTATCATAACTTAATCACAACTATAATTAATGAATGATACATATTTGGAAAGCTTAGAGTCTCCTCTTTCATGTGATGCTACTCAAGTGATGCATATTTTACGCATGAGTGATTAAAAGCAATTTGAAGGAAGGAAACCAAAAGTGATTTGGCGGGCGGTATCTGAATTTCGAAGAAAAATTCACATTTCTAGAAAGTTCATTTTCTGCCCTCTCATATGACACCTCAATCAGGAAAAATGAGCCAGGAATAACAAAGTTCTGTGAGTACGAGCTGTTAAATCAGAATAGCTAACTGAATATAAATGATAATACGACAACCCACATACTTGACTATGAACTATTTCTGCGGTTGTTCTTTGCAGGCTGGTCATACCTTACCCAAGATACCTGGCATCTCATACCGGGTAGCAACTGCAATGGTAACTCCCAGTCGCCCATCAATATCATCCCCAGCATCGCCACCACCACTGATCTCAGTCCCTTCGTGCTCGATGGCTATACCGACGAAAACAGTAACATGGATTTGGTAAACAGCGGGCATAATGGTAAGGATAACAAAATCATATTACTATATTCTGATGAATAACATGACTAAGTAATTATAAAGCAACACGACTCTATCTTGATAAATAAAATTACGATGAATAAAATAAATGTATAATGATGACCAGCATGACTATAAAATGACTATATTACGCGATGAATAAAATGACTACAATCTGTAATAGCCATGAAAATGTAACCATTGTTTCCCCTCTTCTCCTCTCAATGTAGTACACGTCAATCTTCATGATGAAGTGCAGGACTTGTACAAGCTCTCTGGGGGCGGTCTCCCTACTACCTACACAGCTGCTAAAATCTTCTTCAAATGGGGGTCTGTCAATTCTCAAGGCTCAGAACACCAATTTGATGGCGCCACCTATCCTGCTGAGGTGAGTCATGTGCAGGGGCGTCGCCCGTGACAGGGAGTGACCCCCATCATCTTTTTTCTTTTCGATACATTTTGTAGTTCCAGGATGAACAAAGAAAAACAATAAATCATGTTATTCTATAGTTAACCTCTTTCACAAGTTTTTTTTGTGATAATCCGTAAAACCTTCGGTGAGATAATTCCTGTGAAGGCAATTTTTTTTTAACTTTGGGGCGAATTCGTTTATAAAATGGATTGCTCACCGAGCCGATCAACTCTGCACAGAGCTTCGCACCATGAAGTACCTCAGTGTGCACTAGCGCGTAACACAGAGAGTCAACTGGTAACAGGGTGCGTCCATTAAGACAAAATAGGGAGAACGGGTCTTGCTCATAACACAGACATAAAACAAGGACGATTTCATTTGCATGTTTATGTCTTTCAATGAAACTCTAAGACGACACAAACACAATAACAAGACTTAAAAACTGCTGAAGATTGAATTTATTTCGATAATTCAATATCAAGGAGTTCACTAATTATATAACTAACCCCACAATCAAAGGTACTCGTTATGTGTGGCATATTTATGCTCTTGCGCAAAAAGGTGCATACAATAAGAGACAGCAAATCATTGGATGCAAAAGTGCAACCTTTTCCTCTTATCCAATCAAAATGAATGATACATCACTGGAATTGTTGAACCTTTCGCTTTAATTTGATATGCAAGACAGTGCAATTCGCCCATCGAATCAGTTCTCCTGCCAAGATAAGTATGGAGAGTTGACGAATTTTGGGCGAAAATAGAGAAAGTGTCGTGAAAGTTTTTTTTGAACATTTTAAAGCAAAAAAGTGCAACCTTTTCCCATGTATGAAATTATTTCAAATTAATATAATCTTAAAGATGAAACATTGAATTTTTAAATACCGGCCGAGACGGTATTAAAAATGGGTTCAATTAGGCTGTTGATGTGATTTAGCGTAGGGAATGCATGAATTGGTAAGGAATTTCACGTGTTGTAGCTCACGGTGCTGTGCGTGCCGAGCAGATGAACGAAAGTTTTCATGAGTCGGAAAATCGATTTGTACAATATGAGCATTTATCGAAAGACAATCAGTCCAACCCTCGTATTAAGTTGATTTTCATGAAAGCAGAAAAATAACAGAAACAGAATGGCAAAAGTTGGAAATGAATCGGACCAAAAGTAATTAGGAAGTTATGAATGTTTGAAAGATGAGATCGCTAAGTCTACGCAAATCTCAAATTGGTAGTTTGGTCAGTGGATTGTGACGATTGTGCTTGCGTGCGTGTGTGTGTATGTGTCTTTACCGATGGCTAATATACACACCAACTTGATTTGATAGTTTATACACATTAATAAGGGATAACTTTGTTACCTCATAATGGGAAACGATGCATATTTCATTTGTCATAATTGTATAATTGGTGTTGGTATACATAAATAAATAAATCAAATGCTACTCGAATGGATCATAAATGAATAATAGATTTCAACACTGATCAATCATATCGATTAAATATGTTTCCACAGTGGCGACGGGTGGGCCCTGGCATCATGGAGGGGACTCGGCGAGCGATTTGAGGTGTAGGAGGGCTTATAAATTATGTACTAAATACTCGGGTCGCGGCGCGCTGGAAAACACTCGGGTTACGGCTCGCTGGGCCATTTTTTTTAGAAGGGTATTGTTTATCATCTAAATCTTTCTTTAATCCTCTCGTCACTCTCCGAACTTATTTGAAATTCATAATTATTCATTTGTCCACCATAACAGACAAACTAAAAGAGGAGGTGGAGTCCCCCTTTATATTTTACAAACATAATCATACAAAGTAAGGCCAGATTTTCACCTAAGAAAGAAAGAATAGTGACCTGCCAGTGTCACAATACGTTTCCGCCCCCTGGACCCCACCAATGGTCCTAAGGCGGTCCCCTGGATGCTCATCTGACCGTAATTATAAATACCTAGAACCCCTGAGCCTCCGGGGCCTCTGCCCCCTGGACCCCCTGCCAATTAGTGACCTGCCAGTGTCACAAATAAGATATCAAAATTACGCTCCACTCGCTTTGCTCGCTACGCTCTACCTGTTCATTATTACTCCACTTTGAAAAAACGTTTCGCGGGGCGTACATGTAACATATAAAAGTGGTGGTGATGCAGATTTTGCTTCTGCCCCAAACGTTTTTGCTCATTACGCCACTGCCCCTGAAATGTAAGCCCCCTGGAATGTTTGCACGCCCCCCTCATCCCAAACTGCTCCCGGCGCGCCTCAGGTAACAGGAGTGTGCAGTGATCATAGAGGTCAGTGGCAGTGATACATTGTGTACGTGAAGGTATATGTTTTTATTTTCTGGATGTCTGCACCAGTGGCGTAGACAGGTTCGTACACCTGGGGAGGGGGATGACTTAGGGGCGGATCTAGCTTTTTGCTAAGGGGGGGGTAGACCAATAATGACGATGCAGAGCATCGTCCACGAGCCGCGAAGCGGCGAGCCGATTTTTTTGGGGGTGTTTATTTGAACCCCGTAAGTGATGTTTTCCTGGCATCTATTAACACAATGGAGACCATAAAAAGCAGTGCATGATAACGTCTTTTTAAATCAAGTAACAGTTAAATACACAGTTATATCCAGAGTTATCATGTGTTTGGTTAAGTTACCAGATGAGTTGAATATCTTCTCACAATATTTGCACTTGAAAGGGTTTCTCTCCAGCGTGCGTTCTTTTTTTTTTTTTTTTTTTCTCCTTTTGTTGTTGTTTGTTTTTTTGGCTGCCCAAGGGGGGGGGGTTTAACCCCCTAACCCCCCCCCCCCCCCGTAGATCCGCGCCTGTTTAATCTTGTGGTTATCTTGTGGTTTCCAAACCACAAGATAACCACAAAATACTTGTAAGATTTTCTTTTTTTTTACCGTCTGAATTGGCTTTCACCGTGTGAATGCGGCTAATAACAATAAACACAATTACAATAATGATGAGGATTATTATTATCATCATCATAATTATTATTATTATTAATATTATAATTGTTATCATTATTATTATTACTATTATTATCATCATTATGACTTATTAAGTAAGCAAATATCATTCCCCAAAACCTGGGGGGATGATTGTACATGCCATCCCCCCATCTTATGAGGTGGGGGGGGGGGGATGCATCCCCCTCCCCCCCCCCCCCCCGTTGTCTACGCCCCTGGTCTGCACCATTCTAACCCCGCGGCTTGAGATAAAAACTCAAAACTCTAATGCCACCGGCCGGCGCGTTGTTTCCAAATAATGTTCAGATGTAAATAAAGCAGTCATTAATACTTTTATATACCGAAAAGGATCATAGAATACATGTGCTACTTACCAATCATGGTAATCAAGTTTGTTTACGCTATCGAGACAGCAGACAAGCAGTGTAAGGGCACAAGGTACATACAAATACGTGTGTGGGACTATGAACGGGCCGGATTTTTTGTGTTACTGAAATGTGCTCAGAATTCAAGTAATTCATCTATTAAATGACTATAACAGACAAGAAACAAGTCAAAGGTAAGAACAAGAATCAGTGCTTATCAATATAACAGAAATTTTGAATGAAATACCATCGGGAAAGCTATTTGTCAGAAATTAGAGACAAACACACCAAATTCAGCGCTGCAATGACGCACAAAACGGCGTAGAATTCAACTTTCCATCCACCAAATGAATTCAAACACTTGCATTATACAATCTTCAATACCTGTATCACCGTTATCGCAAACAATAAAATCACAATCTATATCTAGACCTAGATCTACGGATAATAATAAGACTCATTCACGTACCCTTTTGGTGTTCTTGCTGTCTAGCGACCACTGATTCGCACACACACAATGTATGGTATCCGCGCTCACTCAAACCAGTTTTTCAGCAAGACTGAACTATTTTCCCGGTTACTGGAATTTTGCCGGATTTTACCGATTTACCCTCGAACTATTACATGGGTTTGGCATTTTTTGTTTATTTACGGGAATGGCTAAAACCATGACTGCAATTTCGACCAATCAGATGGCTGGATTTCTTGAGTGAGGTATATAAACATAATTATTACCCGCGTATCTGACATCTTTGACTTGGGGCAATATGAGTCTAGTTTGGGAAATATATCTCCCTCAAGGCCTTATGCGTAACTCGAATTTCTACGACTTACGCACAAGTCGAAAATTTCCTAAGTCGACACATTTCACTCGGTCCCGAGAAGATCGACTTACGCGAGGTTATTTGCAGGCGAGCCGGAAGCAGTTGGGATTTGGGGGGGGGGGGGGTAAACATTCAAGGGGGCTCACTTTCCAGGGATAGTGGCGTAATGAGCAAAATCGTTTGAAAGGGGGGAGAAGAAGAAAAATCTGCATCACCACCACTCTTACACGTTACATGCAGGCCCCGCGGAACGTTTTTCAAAGTGGAGTGTTAACGATCAGGTAGAGCGTAAATTGGCGTGGGGTCTATGGGCCCGTCTTAGGGCCCTTGGTGGGGTCCAGGGGGCAGAGCCCTCAGAAGCTGGGGGTTTTAGGTATTTTATTACGGTCATGAGCATATTTTGATACCTCATTAATTTTGTGACATTGACAGGTCATTTTTTTTTCTCTCTCCCTTTCTTTATTTTGCTCTGTAACAAGCTTTTTCAAAAAGTGAGGGGGGGCTCGAGCCCCCGAGACCAGCCGTTCTGCAGGCCCTGACATGAAGGTCTCTAAATAAGCATATTCTTCGCCCGACTGTAAATTTGGGAATTTCAAATTTTCCAATAAATGCATAAAAAGGTATGACTTACAAAAAAAAAATGAGAAAAAATACCGGAAAATAATGTCATTTCAGCAACATTTTTAAATCACTGGTATCGAATAAGAAATTACCCCCCCCCCCCCATCAGTACGCCAGCGTTCAGGGGCTCATGTCTTCTCACCCCTATAACAAAAAAAACACACGCTTTCCCATCCTCTCACAACATTTCCACGATATGCGCGTATCGCTATCATAAAAACCTCCATTGATAAATAAAGGTGGCATGCGGAATGTTTAGGAGTTTTAATTCCTGTTAACTTTCCTTTCCCTTGAATGGAATTTCATATGTGATTTAATTCAGGGTTTTATTATTGTTATGCTCTTTTGGGTTAAAAATACAAACCATCTTTACTCCTTTACTGCTTTCCTTTTTTTTATTGGAGGGGGGGGGGCAAAAATGTGTTTTGCCCCCCACTTTTTGGTTGGGGGGGGGTGCCCCCTGCCCCCCCCCCCCCCCTCTTCCGGCGCCTATGGTTATCTGTATGTATTTTGTACACATATTTTCGCTGTTAACCTGACACTTTGAAGCGATATCATTTTGAAATTTTGTTTCATTGGAATTTTAGCCATTTGTACCCCAAATTACAAGAATTCCTATATAATTGATCATGGGAATTGTGTTTCAAAGGTTCTTGTTTCAGGAAAAGACTAAATACTGTTCAAAGTTGGCAGAAGAAAATCACATGGCTAACTTTTCATACTGGGTATATGAATATAATAATATAAAGCGACCTGTTGTGTCCATAACATGCTAAAGTCAATTGTAAAGTACTTAAAGTACAAGTCTACTCCAAAACGAACTTACTTTCAATAGCAGCAGAAAAATCAGACAAACCAATCAAAAGAAGTTTGAGCAAAATCGGATAGCTAATAAGAAAGTTATGATTTTTTTAAAAAGTATGTAAAGCTATGGAACAAGTGAAATCACTACACAAATTGCCAATTTGTGACGATTTTTATATCAATAGTTTATCAAAATTCAAATTTTTATGATTTAACTGAAAAAATTACTCTACATTTAGCGCATCCGCTTAAAATGTATATGTCTCTTCTGTACTTTTTTTCCTTCTCATTTATTATTATTGGTTTATTTTTTTAAAATGTTCTGTATTGCCTATACTTCTGTACTTCATTTTTGTTTATTTATTATTATTGTTTTAATTTTTTTAATTTACTGTATTGCCTATAATTGCCAGTGGGAAGCATATCTCCACATAATGGACATGAATAAATTATCAATTATTATTAATCCATTATTCATTCAGTTGAACATGGTTCACTACGACAAGTCTAAATACGCCGATCTCCCCGCAGCTTTGACCAGCCTGCAATGGGATGCAGTCGCCCAACTAATTGTGATGATTGAGGTAAGAGTGCCCTGTGTTCTTCTTTTTCTTCTTTTCCTTCTACTGTTAATCTTCAATGGGCCATGCAGCTTACCACAAACATCGGTATGTAGATGACTAGTTGCGTAAGCAAAGGCCTCAAATTTGCATATCTAAATATTCGTAGCCTTCTTCGTAATATAGATGAAATAAATTCATTTATGAAATTCATATTCTAGCATTAAATGAAACTTTTTTGGATGAATCTGTTTTCAAAAGTGAACTTAATATCGATCATTTTAACCTTATTCGTAAAGATAGAAACAGACACGATGGTGGAGTGGCCGTGTATATACATAGTTCGTTGTCTTTTGAAGTTATCAAATATGATGTATTAAATTCCTTAGAAATTATACCACTTCTGATTCGACCGAAATTTTCAATTCCAATAATACTTCTTACTTGGTATAGACCGCCAAATAGCAATGTTCAATTATTTCAACAGTATGAAAATGTATTATCATTCCTTGATAGTTTTAATAATTCCATTATTGTTATGGGGGACACAAATTGCGATTTGTTAAAAATAACAGGGTCCTCTGATTTAAAACGTCTGGATGAAACACATTACTTATATTCACTGCAACAGATTAACAAAACATATTATACTAGGATTACAGCCAACTCAATGTAACTCATTGATCATGTTAACAAACTCAACTGAGAAAATAAAAACGCACTGTGTTATTCATGTGGGAATGAGTGATCATTCTTTGAGTTATTTAATATGGAAGTCAAAAAATGAAAACTCCTCATTAATTATCGCAAATTATCAGGTATTGATATAGAATCCTATTTAGAAAATTTAGGTAATCAACCATGGCATGAAATCCTTGATTGTACCAGTGTCAATGAAGCAGTCAATAAATGGGAAAGTTTTCCTTTGAATGTTGTTAATCTCCATATGCCTTTCAGAAGCAAGAAAATTAGGAATAAGAAGTCCCCATGGATGAATTCAGATATTTTCAAATTGATCAGAGAAAGGGATAAATTAAAACAAAAAGCTTGGAAAAATAAAGATGAGAAAAAGATGAAAGAATACAGAAAATTAAGAAACAAAGTTACTTTTGAAATTAGGAAAAGGAAGAAGAATTATTACTCTGAACAATTATTAAAATTCAAAGTAAATGCTGGTAGCACCTGGAAGGTGTTAAAATCATTATTACCTTGTAATAATAGTAACACAAATATATTTCAAAGCGATAAAGAAAAATTTTAATGAATACTTTGCGAACGTTGGAAAACTTTTAGCATCTACAATTCCAATCACACATAGGTCTGTTCTTGATCAAGAGTGTCATAGTGTATTTGCTTTGACTTTTGGAGTAAAATCAGAAGAAAATGTTTTGAAAGAAATTAAACTGTTGACAAATATATCTTCATGTGGAATTGACGGAATCTCTGCACAGCTATTGAAGTTGTCGGCTCCTGTTATAATTCCATCTCTAACATATTTGTTTAATAAATCACTACTAGATTGTGTTTATCCTAACCAATTTAAACTGCTAAAGTGATACCATTATTTAAATCAGGAAACAAAGATGACCCTTCTAATTTTAGACCAATATCCATTTTGCCATCCGTCTCAAAAATTCTGGAAAGACTAGTATGCAATCATTTATTGAAATCGTATATGACAGAAAACAATGTACTCTGCGCCGAGCACTCGGGTTTCAGGCAAAAAGCATTCGACTGTAACATCTTTATTGAAAGTTACCGATGATTGGTTGCAAGCATTGGATGGAGCCCTTTATACTGGTTCTGCGTTTATCGATCTGAAAAAGGCGTTTGATACTGTGGACGTTCAAATACTTGTTAAAAAACTTTTCAGCATTGGTGTTTGGAGGGACACATTACCTTGGTTCGAAAGTTACTTGTATAACCGTAAGATGTGTACCTGTATTGATTCTGCTACATCAAATATTTTAGATATAGATTATGGAATTCCTCAAGGGTCCATACTTGGCCCTATTTTATTTACTATTTATATAAATGATTTGGTGCAACAAGTAAAAAAATTGTAAATTGCATCTATGTGCAGATGATACTGTGCTATATTTTTCTCATAAAAGTGTTGATATTGTTGAAAAAATATTAACATCGATTTACGTAAAATACATAGCGGGCTTCGCTGTTATAATCTCAGTCTTAACGTTGACAAAACCATTTGTATGTTATTTAGAACTGGTGCAATGTTATCGAAATGTAGTATCTTAATTGTAAATATATGTGGTAAACGTATTGTTCAAAGTAATACTGTGAAATATCTTGGAATGCATCTTGATACCAAGTTAAAATGGGATATTCATATTGACGAAATGTGTAGAAAAATAAGTAAAGTTGTACATTTTTTAGCTCGTCTTTGACATTTTATATCGGAATCCAATCTGAAGATGGTATACAATTCAATTATTCTTCCACTTTTTGGTTATGCAGATATTGTTTATGACCCGGCAAGCAAGAAACGCACTGACCGCCTCCAAAAATAAAACGGCCGGTCGTATCATTTTGAAAATTAATCCTTATCACCATGTTTCAAATAACGATATTTATGTTAAATTAGGGTGGAAATCTCTCCATTCAAGACGTAAATTGCATTTAAATATAATGGTCTATAAATCCCTGAACAATTTGGCTCCTCCTTATTTAGAGGAGTCCTTCAAATACTGTAACTATCCATATTCTCTACGATCACAAGGAAATATTAAACTTCCCAAACCAAAGAGTGAATGCTGCCGTAAAATGTTTGTGTATAGAGCAACGTCGATCTGGCGCTGCTCAGTGGCTGCCGGGCTCACGATCAATTGGGCATAAAGAATTTCCGTTTCGGTTTAATAAAATTTGGAGTGGACTATTAGGCTATTATTATTATTATTATTATTATTATTAAAGGCTCACGTGAGTACAATGATCTAACGTTAACTATTAAGCTATCCAACAGCTTAAAAACTTTTTGCAAAAAATCTAAATTTAAGAAATAAGTTTTTCTGTAATGGAACATGCTTGGGATGGGGGGGGGGGGGGTGTTTTATGTATTATGTTGTATTGTATGTTGTATAATAACTGTTGATATTTTAATTCCTGGACCCCAGGGAAGAACAGTTTTGTATATTAACAAAGCTGAATGGGTTATCCAGCCATTCATTATACTATTGATTTTACTTTGTACATGCATTTTCTTTGTTTTTAATATTGTGATATAGAAAATAAATACCAATACCAATATCAATACCCCATTCTCATATGGCGCATCAAAAGGCGCGCCAGTCGCTGACGCAGCCTTGCGTCAGAAGAATGACGCCTCATGTACATTGGGTATTACACGATAACTGTGCTGCATCTCCAATATGTCTACGCTCATATCTCAGTGTGCATGATCAAGTGGATTTCACATGTGTAAAGTCGAGTAACAATTTCATTTATTAAACGTGTATTTGGTCGTCTAGGAATGCTTGTCCGCAATATTGTTTAAGTTACTATTTCCCATTTGCAGGCCAAAAAACGAAAAGGTTAAATTCCAACGGCAATACTAATTTAGAACTGGCCTTTAAAAAAAAAAAAGGGGGGGGGGCTTGAAAATGTCTTTAAGTGGGAAAATAACGACTATTAGTTGTCGAATCGACTTAAGTGCCTCCAAGACAGTAAGTAATAGTCTGATTTTCAGACCATTGTACCGAATGGTCGTACGTTTAGTGCTGCGCAAAGATTAAATCAGTTTAATTTGGGCCATTAAAAGAAGTGGTTTATTTATGCAGACAAATGCTCATGCTTTACAGCTCATTTTATGTATGTTATAACCAAACAAGAAAAAAGCCATTCAGTCACTCAACAGTGTCTGACAGTGAAGTCTAGCAAGTAAACGGGTTTCCTTGCATTATTTGGATATTAGGACACTGCTAACGTTTAAATTTCACAAATAGAACATATATGACATATTCATGATTCCTCCAAAGTTCTACAGAATTTGATGTTAGCTGCAAAAGGAACATAGTATCTTTAAGAGCAGTGTAAGAGGATTCAAATTCTTAAATTGTTGTCATTGTTGTCTTCTGTTCATTCATATTCCTCTCTTTTCTCTCTCTCTCTCGCTCTACCCCTACCCCTCTCTCTTTTTCTCTCCCTCTTTCTCTCTCATTACCCCTCTCTCTTTTTCTCTCCCTCTTTCTCTCTCATTACCCCCTCTCTCTCTCTCTCTCTCTCTATCCCCTCTCTCTCTCCCTATCTCTCTCTTCCTCCCTCTCTCCCTACCCCTCTCTCTTTCTCTCTCTATCCCCCTCTCTCTCCCTCTTTTCCCGCTTTCTCCCCCTCTCCCTACCCCTCTCGCTTTCTCTCTTTCTCTCTCCCTACCCTTTCTCTCTCTCTTTCTCCCTCTCTTCCTCTCTCTCTTTCTCTTTCTCTTTCCATACCATCTCCCTCTCTGTCGTTTCCTCTCTCATCTCTCTCTCCCCCTCCCTCTCATTCTCTCTCTGTCTCTCTCTCTTTATATATCCGTACCCATCTCTCTTTTTATCTCTCCCGCTTTCCCTCCGCAGGTTGGCGAATCTAACACTGCTTTTGATTCCTTCCTGAGTTACATCAGCCAGATCGCTAATTATTCCTCGGGCACAACCTCCCTGGGCCAGGGCAACCTCCCATCCTTCCCAATCCGCAACTTCTTGCCATCTGACCTGTCCAAGTTCTACCGTTACAATGGTTCCACTCCGTCGCCCAACTGCTATGAGACCGTCATCTTGAACGTCTTTAAAGACCCAATCTCTATCTCCCAGGCTCAGGTAAGTGAGAGAATGGAGTCTCGGGGAGGGGGGGGGGGGGGGTTGCTTAGATGATGAAATTGCCATTTGGTCTACAGCAAATTGGTTAGATACCAATTTTGTCTAATGCACGTCAACGATCCTTACTTTGTCCAACTTTGTACACCTCAGGATCTTACTTTTTTATTAGTTTAGCTGAAAAATAGCATGATACTATTAGTTTCAAATGTTTGAATGCTCCTACTAAAATGTTGAGTATTACATTTGAGTATCCACAAACTGTTACAGGAGAGGCACCCATCTGCCCCCACCCCCACCCCCGGGGGCCGGGGGCCGGGGGCAGAATACCTTGGCAGACCGGAGGCCTTTAGCCCCAGTGCAAGTTCCATCATTTTGTCGTTGTTCTTCATTTAATATTCTCCTGAATGTAGATGACGTAAATAAAGTAGTAGTTTAGTAGTAGAAGTAAGGGTATATAGTAGTAGTAGTAGTAGCAGCAGCAGCAGCAGTAGCAGCAGTAGCAGCAGTAGTAGTAGCCCCAGTGCAAGTTCCATCATTTTGTCGTTGTTGTTCTTCATTTAATATTCTCCTGAATGTAGATGACGTAAATAAAGTAGTAGTTTAGTAGTAGAAGTAAGGGTATATAGTAGTAGTAGTAGTAGCAGCAGCAGCAGCAGTAGCAGCAGCAGTAGTAGTAGAAGTAGTAGTAGTAGTAGAAGTAGTAGAAATAGTAGTAGTAGTAGTAGTAGTAGTAGTAGTAGTAGTAGTTGTAGTAGAAGTAGTAGTAGTAATAGTAGGAGTAGTAGTAGTAGAAGAAGGAGAAGAAGAAGAAGAAGATGAAGAAGAAGAAAGAAGAAGAAGAAGAAGAAGAAGAAGAAGAAGAAGAAGAAAAAGAAGAAGAAGAAGAAGAACAAGAAGAGGAAGGTGAAGAACAAGAAGAAGTAGAAGAAGTAGTGGTAGAAGTAATCGTAGCAGAAGCAGTAGTAGTTGTAAAAGTAGTAGTAGAAGAAAAAGAAGTAGTAGAAGTAGCAGTATTAGTAGTAATAGTAGGAGTAATAGTAGTAGTCAATGGCGGATCCAGGAGGGCCCGGGGCCCCGTCCCCCTTCCCTTAAAAAAAAAAATCAGGTAAAAATATGAAAATTTTACCTTTATTTGGAGACAGGCCCCTCCCCTTGGCGCCCAGGGGGGGGGGGGGGGGTACGATTTTTAAATTTTCGAGGGCTGAAAAAAGTTAGTGCTCATTCCACCCCCTCCACCCCCCCCCCACCCCCCCCCCCCCCCCCCCCCCCCCCACTGAGCGAATTTTTGGCCGGCGCGATTTGCAAATTTTTGGGGCTGAAAATAAAAAATTATTGCTCCTACCCCCCCCCCCCCCCGCCCCAACCCCTCCCCGCTTATTCACCTGGGGCTTGAACCAAAAGAAAAGAAAAAAATGTACCTCCTACCTACCCCCCCCCCGCTCATTCACCGGCTGGGTATTTCGCCGATCAATGTTTTCTCACAAATTACGACTTCCAATTTTAACAAGTCTAAGTTTTCGATTTGGAAATGACTAATTCTTGAAAGTTCGATAATGATGATAACGCGAAATAAAATAAAAACATGTTAAGCGTTCTGTTTTATTTCGAAAATTAGGAAAGAGGAGGCCCTTTTCAGTCGTGTTTTTCATGTTTTTTTTCTTTAATTTTTTTTTTTTTTTTTTTTTTTTTTATTTAAAAAAAAAAAAAAAAATCAAAAAAAAATTCAATTAAAAATAAAAAACATCAAAAAAATTAAAAAAATAGGAGGCGGCCCCTAAAAAGGAAGCGGGCGGAGACGCTAAACATGTATATTTTTTTAATGGCCTAATTTTTTTTTCCTTCTTCTTTCTAACAGCTTGACATGCTCCGCACCGTGTACGGCGTCAATCTGAACGCACAAGGCAATTACAAAATGGTCGACAACTACCGCCGCATCCAACCTCTGAATGGCCGCACAATCTACTACAGCAGTGCAGTTACCATCTCACCAATGAGGGCACTGTTTATCTTGGCACTTTCACTTAGTTTGTTGCTCGATCGCTTTTAGATTAAAAAAGAATTGTATTAAAGGTACTATGTCCCTTTTGCAGCCAACCTCAAATTCTGTAGAACTTTGCAGGAATTATGAATATGTCATGTATGTCCTATCTGTGAAATTTAAACGTTAGCAGTGTCCTCATATTCAAATTATGCAAGGAAACCCATTTACTTGCTAGACTTCACTGTCAGACACTATTGAGTGACTGACTGGCTTTTTTTCTTCTTTGGTAATAACATACATGAAAAGAGTTGTAAAGGGTACATGAGCATTGTCTACATCAATAACCCACTTCTTGTGATGGCCAAGATTAAACTGATTGAATCTTTGCGCAGCATAAAACGTATGACCATTCAGTACAATGTCTGAAAATCAAGACTATTACTTTTGGGCTCTACAGCCCTAAAGTCGATTTGACAACTAATAGTCATTATTTTCCCACTTGAAGACATTTTCAAGCCCCACCTTTTTTAGGGAAGTTCTAAATAAGTATTATCTTTCAAATGCATTCAGAATTTAACTTTTTTATTTTTTGGGCCTGCAAATGGGACATAGTACCTTTAACAAGAAATGTTTACAGAGAAATTAAGTTTAATATAATTACGGATTTGAAAAATACAAATAATTAAACATGATGTTCCTGTAAAAGCTACCATCCTTCGTGGACGGGGATGCTTGACCTTGAAATAAACTCATTTCGATTTGATTTGTAATGATTGGTTGGTATAATGAACCTTTTTTTTAAATATTCAATGAAAAATAGTTCAGTTTAAGAATGTGAATAGTTAATCTGATCCCGACGTGGCAGTAATATCCTTTGGCAAGATATTTACCTGCACTTGCTACTCTCCATCCAGATGTTCAATACGTACCCGGAAACAGGGGCGTACGCAGGATTTTTTTTTTAGGGGGAGGGGGTTCGAGCAATTTTTTTTTTATTGTTGCCTCGAAATTTTGGCCTACCGGTATTTCGTTCAGTTGAGTTTTTTTTTTTTTAATTTTTTTTTTTCATTTGAGGGAGGGGGGGGGGGGGGGCTAGGAGCAATTTTTTCTTCTGCGGCACAGATTGGGGTTTGAAGCGTGTTGAGCCTATGGGAAAGTTTAGGGTTAGGGTTAGGGTTAAATCAAGACCTCTTTTTTTTAAAAAGCCCCAATCTGTGCCGCAGAAAAAAATGACGCTGCCCGGAAGGATACGAAAGTTCATGTGGTTGGATGAGCAAGTGTGCGCTAACTGCGCTTGTAATGACGACTGGCTGGACTGGCTGGAATAAATTAGCCGTTGTTCACTTTTTATATTACAGGGGAAACAGTCAAACGGTTTCAAAATATAGTACTTTGATTCATAGAAATGTATCTATGTAGCTCTGTGTGAAACAGAAGTGTCAGTCTATACTATGTGTCGCGAAAATGCTCCTTATTTACATTTGCTTTGTAATACTTTCATTTTGTCCTGGACCAACTATATACATAGGCCCGTATTCTGAAGTCGTGTCTAACTTAGCCACGTCTAAAGTTAAACAACTGTTTAGTTAGACACGACTTAGACAGGACTTAGTTTTATTTTGTACACATGTTGATATCGGGGCTTGAAATGTGATATATTTTGTTAGCATGAAATCTGATTTTTTTTTTTTTTTTTTGTAGAGAGACTTTTGTAGAGTAAATTTATAGGGGTTGAAATTGTTTTATAGACTGTTTGATTCGTATTTATGAACGGCTGTTATACACTCTCTGATATCATGGAACAGAAAACACAACATAATTATTCATTTTTTATCATCCATCATTTAAAATGAAAACGAATGAGGAGCATTATTGGCTCACGTAGATATTATCCGCTAGATAGTGTCCACCATGTATAATGGTTCGACCTCGGGTCATGCGCGTCCCAAACAAGAGGTTATGGTTCAAATTTGCAGTTCAGGGTTCTTATTATGTAAACAAAAAAATGGAATTGATAAATACGTATAATCTATACATAATGTATATATATGCTTCTTAACATCACGGGACCACTTGAACTGAACTAATGAAGCATGCAAATATGAATTTATTCTTGTTGTGTGTTTCTTCTAAACAAAATTTTTACAAAATTCGTAGTAGTCATTTTTTTGTTTTGTACAGTATATTTCAAATTTTGCTGGTATTTAAGCAGATAAAATCAATTCGAGATGGAGGATTGATTGTTTAACAGACCTTCATGTGGAGGTGTCTTGGTAATGTGGTTCAATCGCGTGACACTCAATCAAAGGGTTAAGGGTTCTAATCCCATTAGAATGCGAAAGCATTTTACATTACTCAGCATTGTGAACATTTTGTAAAACGACGCTTGGCTGGAATGCGAGCGGACATGCCTAAATCCGATGACTAGGATAATAATATTTTTGTAAATCGCTTAGAGACGTCGTAAATGTGCTGTATAAAACCAAACTATTATTATTGTTGTCGCTGTTGTTATTAATATTTAATGATGTAGGCCCTGCTTGCTAAGTAATATTTGCTTAAGAGATTTGATCACATGAGTATTCAACAAAATTCATTTCAGTTAGAAAACTTTATACAAGAAAATCTTTTTTGAGAGACTATAATAATCATTTCTAATAATTATTTCATTTGTGTTGTAAAACATTCTTAATCAAATGTTCTTGTTCACAAAATAGTGTAATAAAGTAATAAATACTTTTTTTAAGGTAAGATTTTGCTGTTTGTGCCATAACATTATTTAGGATTATTGATTGTGTAGGAATGTTCTAATATATTGTGTAAATTTATGAATCCCTTATATGATTTTTTTTTTCTTAAAGTAGTTTCTTGTAAAGTTTGGGTCTTGAAAGCTATAGAAATGTATTAACTTTTATCGAGATTCGGTTGCCAGTCTCAGTCGATCCCAAAATTGTTCCTCAAATAAGACAGTGTTTATGATGCAACCCCTAAATGGGAGAAAAATTAGGAGATTGGGAAATAAAAAACGGATGAGAGTTTTCATGATAGCGATAATACTACCAAAATACCCCTCCTTAAAGGTTCTATGTCCCATTTGCAGGCCAAAAAAATGAAAAGGTTAAATTTCAACGGCATTTCAAAGATAATACTAATTTAGTACTTCCCTAAAAAGGCTGGGCTCGAAAATGTCTTTAAGTGGGGCAATAACGACTATTAGTTGTCAAATCGACTTAGGAGCTATAGAGCCAATAAGTAATAGTCTTGATTTTCAGACCATTGTACCGAATGGTCATACAATTTATGCTGCGCAAAGATTCAATCAGTTTAATTTTGGCCATCACAATAAGTGGGTTATTGATGTAGACAAATGCTCATGTACCCTTTACAACTCTTTTCATGTATGTTATTACCAAAGAAAAAAAAAAGCCAGTCAGTCACTCAATATTGTCTGACAGTGAAGTCTAACAAGTAAACGGGTTTCCTTGCATAATTTGAATATTAGGACACTGCTAATGTTTAAATTTCACAGATAGGACATACATGACATATTCATAATTCCAGCAAAGTTCTACAGAATTTGAGGTTGGCTGCAAAAGGGACATAGTACCTTTAAAGAGAGAGAGAGGGGGGGGGGTAGGGGTAGGGAGAGTAGAGAGAGAGAATTAGAGAGAGAGACAGAGAGAGAGAGAGAAAGAGAAGAGCTGCGGCACACATACACGAAGGCATGTACATTGTTGCCCATTATAGAGAGAGTTAGAATATTTTTTCTTACCTCTTTTTATGAGGGCATTCTGATAATTATGGTTTACTCTTGTAGATAAAGTTTTTGTCTTTTCAGAACTTTGAAGATCAATTTAAAGAATCAATGAGAAAGATCAGTAGGATTCTGAAAAAATAATAAACGTTATTTATTAAAAAATAAGCCATATTGTCGCAATCACTTTCTTAATCACGAAAAGAGGTAAGCAACAAATATTTCAACTTCATGGGCAACAGTGGGTTATAAACAGAAATACATTGAACGGAGACTAGAGTGACCACGTGAGAGAAAGGCATGAAGGGGTTAAGAGTTAGAAAAAGAAGAGAGAGAGAGAATAATATACGGGAGAAACGAAAACAAAAGCTTTATTAAAAGAATGCATTACAATAGAGCTGGGGAGGGAAGGGCTCGTGTGCTGAACACAAGCTGCCGCTTCATATCAACGGTTGCATGAATACAGAATTTAGAAGGAGAATTTAGTATAAAATCCCATGTTCCCCTTGCAAGATAGCAAACAAAGCCCCGCCTCCACCCATGCAGAGTTTTCTGGCTATGCGCCTTAGTGACGTCATTGGTACAATAGCTGAGGTGTACCTAGCCTCTTGTCGATGGCCCTCGCGTTTTTGGAGTCCATAAATTCTGGCGAGCGCGCTCGGTTTCTCTGACTCGCTTCGCTCGCCAAAATTTACGGACTCCAATAAAGCGAGGGCCATCGACAAGAGGCTAAGGTGTACCAAGTTAGGAGGTGCAGCATCCCCCCGAAAATTATTGGCAATATAACATTTTGGAAGATCCACCCTTAAAAGAGTGATTCCATTACTGTGGTATATGAATCACAGTCATGTTGTAAACTTACATACTTCGTCCCTCCTGAGGCAAAGGTCTGGATATGCCACCGATGTGTGTTCTTTATCTATATAAACATTGAACCGTTTTCTTCGCTCATGGTCAATATTTGAATTCGTATGAGAATTTCGCGTTTGATAATGTACTAGAAATTGAATTCATTGCTAAGATGTGAAGCACGTGAAAAGGTCGCGATCGCCTCTTTTCCGTTCTTTCTTCAAAACTACAGATCTTTCCCTCGCACTCTATAAAGTTCTTGTTGGTCTTTGTGGTAGGTCTTTATGTTTAGTTCTTCTTTTCTGTATCACTATATCTGTAAATTAATTGTCTGCTTCCTCTTCCACTGCCCCTCGCTATATCTATTTTCTCCTTTTCTTTTACTCACTGGTACCCCTAATCCCCTTCTTTCTTACTGTATGATAACATGGTGTTTCAAAAACACCACAGTGTCTCTCTCGCA